TACAACTGTGCCTACATACTAGCTTACTGACTCGTCATGATCACAATTGTGTTGGGACTACATTTATTTTTGAATACTACTTTTTTCTATTCAGCGGAAGTGACGTATTAGGGCATTTTGGCCGTAGTTGCGATGCTTCCTATGCATTTCTCCCTTATCAAAAGTCATAATTTAATTAGCTTTGTTTTTCGTAACTGTTACGGTGGACGCGCGCAATCTTCAGATTGCCGGATCCTACTATTTCATTAATTATAACCTAAATTGTAATTGAGAAATTTCATGACTGTTTATGTATTCATTTAAATGCTAACCTTGCCAAAATATTTATATGTTTCAGATATCTAGGGCACAAATCAAGAGTAATTAGTACATGACTTATGTCAAATTATACGATCATTTATTGACCTCGTTGACAAAATTTCAAAACTCAGTTTCATAACCAAACCTTTCATAGGACATCATATCATCCTAATCTTACGTTTATTTCTCATATATCCATTCAATAATATTCAATGTATTTCCCCTTGAATTCTACTTACAGATTCTATACGTTATTAATAAGACAATGCATATTCAGGTAGATGAATGACTAATATCTCGACTTGTTAATTTCTGATGTACCTATTTCAGGAAACTAATTGATATAAGTTCCCGGGAAAGTTTAAATTGTTAGACGCGTAACATCGGGTCGTGTTCAAATGAGAGCGAGTAATTAGGCTCGCCATGCTCTCGACTATAATTTGAACAAATATATAATGGTATTTAACATGTACACATTCAGGACGAGCCAAAAAATACGAACATATAGAGGATGAGCCAAAAACACTTATAATTCACTCAAAAGATGAAATGCATGGTCGTGTTATTTGAAATCAATATTTTGATAAATAAAGACTGAGACTAATATACGAAATATATTACATGAAAAATATGATCTTTTGTTTAATAAAATTCTGTAGTTCTACACAAGAACTGCCTTGTGAGATTAATGGACTACCCTGTACGCAAAAGAGAATCGGATTGACAACTTTGGGCTAATTTTTAGCTAAAATTTAGCTCAATATATATGTATGGCAGCTAATAGTACCTGATGGTACCGAATAGTAAGAAATGGAAGTGATTGTGTGTAGAATTTAGCTCGAAGTATATGGACAGTACCTAATGGTACCTAATAGTACTAAATAGAAGTGATTGTGTGTATAATTCAGCTCGAATTATATGAATGGTACTAAATAGCAATTAACAGTAAAACATTTTTTGTAGCAAAAGCTATCCTATATTTACAATCATAATTAATAGTCTAGTAAATATCTATAACCCCTTCACAAACATGAGTAGCAAGTTTTTAGACTTTTACAACCCTTTGGTAAAGCAACAAGCATTTTGCTTTCCATTGGTCACTGGGTTTCATCTATAGGTAACACGGCACAAACTTCAAACAAATTCTAGTATACAACCATTTGGTAGCAAGCCTGATATCACATATTACAACTATTACTAACAAGCTAACAATACAACCATCTCCCAGCAACCTAGAGTCTTTGTACAACCATTTGGTTGAAAACTAAATGCATGTACAGAACAACCAATTGGTGGAAAATTAAATGTATGGTATATTGTTACATTATTACCATTGCAAAAGCCAAATGGATTAAAGCTATTTACAGTGTTGCATCACCACATTGCATTGCATTATGATTACAGGTACTTCAATTTCATCACAACAATGTGGCAAAACAATCCAGTTAACAACCATTTTGGTGATAAATTTTGTTAACAACCATTTGGTGATGTATGCAGTGAACACAACCATTTGGTGGTGTATTACATTTAACACAACAATTTGGTGGTGTTTAACCTCTGAAGCATGTTTACTGACACAGGTCTGAGTCAAATATAAATGTGCCATTTTTGTGAAATTAATTGTGTCCTGAAAGAGAAAAGCATAATTTAACAGCCAGAAAAAATGAGTGTTCAGCAAAATAACTTGAGCAAAATAATTTTAACGTTGCTAAATTAGTTTGCGTAAAAATTTATATTTCAACCAATTAAGCTTTCCTAGGAATCCATTTGCAACATCTGGGTAAGTAAAAATACTGCGCTATACATACAATACTGCGCTATACATACAATACTGCGGTATACATACAATACTGCGGTATACATATTTTCAAACCATAACCTACACACAGCAAATATGGGAATCCTAAAGCAAATATGTGTTATTTACAGATCTTATTGTTCCAAAACAACTATCAATTGCTTCAAAACTTTCAAAATATTGCTCAAATAGTTTAGCAAAATAACTCTGTCGGTAAAATCCAGTGTTCATTCTAGGAATCATTTTTGTCTATTTGGATTTCATTTTTATATTGTGTATAGTGAAGGCACTGTTAATGCATGTTAGCTATTCTATAATATTTACATGGGTTTGTGTGCATAATACGTAGTTTCATGTTTTAACTTAACTTAACATGCAGTTCCACAATTAGCCAGTTGTGCAATTTACATGCAGTTCCATCATTAACATGTTCAGTTGTACAATAAACATGTAGTTTCACAATTAACATGTAAGGTTTAACAATTAACATGCAGTTCCACAATTAACATGTTCAATTGTACAATAAACATGTAATTTTACAATTAACATGTACAGTTGAACAATTAACATGCAGTTCTATCATTAACATGTACAGTTGTACAAATAACATGCAGTTTCACAATTAACATGTACAGTTTAACAATTAACATGCAGTTCCACAATTAACATGTTCAGTTGTATAATAAACATGTAGTTTCACAATTAACATGTACAGTTGAACCATTATCACATATACATAATAGTACTGGTTACAAAGTGCATGTTAAATGATTATACTGTAGATATTGATATACATATAAAATCTATCTATGGATACAAAAATTCTTTTAAATATCTATACCAAGAAACAACACACCGACAAATCTTCACTGAACCAATATGATTTGAAGTAATTTAATTTAAAGTAACATGATTTTAAGATCACAAAAATTAATGAATGTATAAAACTACTGCTATTTTCATTAATTTCTTAGCCATTTTTATAAACTTCTTACATGCATGTTATTAAGACTAGTCTAAAGACTCATCATCATGCCTAACCGCTTTATATGGCGGTTAAGATGCATATCTGGAGAAAATGAACATTAAACATGTAAAGTTATAATCACCTTTAATATTTTCCCACTTATGTGTTCCTGATTGAGTTGAAAGGTATTAGGAAAATAGTTTTAATAAAGTTCCCCTAATCCAATTGAAAAGGGGGCAACAAACAATCAACAGGGTCGTAATGTTACATAATAATATTCAAGTTCTCCCAAATGCTTGCAACTTCATCACTAATACTCCAGGAACCATATCTTAGCTGTTTTATAAAAACAGCAACGCAGAGTACTGGTTTTCTCAAATGATATACCATCCTGAAAAAAGGCTATAAAAGCCCACAAAACATCGATATCAACATACATGTACGAGAAAAGGTTCCGCAAAAATTGCTCTTTTTACAAAACATTAACACAAAGCACAACATGGTGCTTTTACATTGCATCTATTAGCCTTTGACTAGTTCAGTCTTATTCATGAGAAAAAAAACTAGTGATATCTTGTGATAAAATCACATTTCACTCACAGTGAAGCTGGTGAGTCATCTATGATATATTGAAATTACTGTATAAGTGGTATTTAATCCGAGTGGTTACTCTCTCCAATTGGTCAAACTTTATCATTTTCATAATTCTAATTTTGCTTATGACAAGAAACTTCCCACTGGATAACATTATGAAGATAATATTTCAGACATTTAATTTTCTGAACGTGGCAAAAATTAGGCAAAGGCAAATTCAAAGATTAGGCAAAATTACCGCTTATACAGCATGTTATTTCAAACGTGTAATACTGATCTAGGATTATAAGAGATGACTGATAAAATTCAAAGTAATCAGATCTCACATATGAATCATTCTGAATATGTAACGAAAAAGTTCATTGACTGATGTCACATATTCTAATGTCACATATTCCAATTACTTGGTCAATGTTTACAAACGCTGGAAATTCATTGTAGTCAACAAATTAACAAGGTATAAACTACTTTCTTGTATATGATACAGTAGGCCTTGCATACATAAATAATGGGCCTTGTATACAATAAAGGTGCCTAGTATACATATAACAGGCCCTGTGTACATTAGGTTTAGGTTATAAAATGTTAGGTCGTGTTGTAATGCTGATTATACTGTGTTCTGAACAGGGGTGTTAAACAATGTACATTTTGCCTTATCTATAGTATATTTTGCACAAAACTGGGTGTACGCCATGACATAGATCAGACAGTAAACAGCATGTTAAGGAGGTGTACGCCATTTATTCTATATACAGATACGTTCAGTCGTTCACTGTACATTGATAGTCCATATAATATAGAAAAACTATAGTATGCATGTTTACTATGTACTGAATGCATCAAGCAGTATGTATATGTACAAAACAGGGGCAAACATCACAATGCGTGTACCCAAAACCATATACAGTACAGTAAAACCTGTAAAGTGGAACACCTCTGTGACAGGAACACCTCCATAAGTGGAACATTTTTCAAAGTCTCGTTATCCATTCACATAATGCAAACTAAACCTCTGTAAGTGGAACACCTCTGAAATGTTACTTTTTGAGGTATCGCATGTGTTCCACTAACACAGGATCTAGTGCATATAAATACAATACAGAGGTGCTGATCATTTAGCGTACACACTGATCCTTATGCATATGTACAATACAGAGGTGCTGATCACATAGCGTACACACCAATCCTTATGCATATGTACAATACAGAGGCGTGGATTACCACATCACGACACATCAAATTATATGTATGTACACTAAGAGGCGTAGATCAGTCAAGGCTTTCACAAAAATATGAATATATAATACAGAGGCATGGATGATGGATCACAAACTGTACCCCCAAATTATCCATATGTACAATACAGAGGGGAGGATCATGTGTTATACACCACAACTTATGGAAATACAATACAAATACAGAGGCACTGATCACATAGTGTATGCACGAAACCTTAAGTATGTACAATACAAAGATGTGAATCGCATATAGTATTCCTACCAAGCTTACATATGTACATTTACACACCTACAAACCAAATTGCGTACAAATCCTGCGTACAAATCTGCACAACTACAATACTGCGTAAAGTCCAATGTTTATGTACAATTCCATTCCATATGATTCAGTTATTTATACACATTTTTTTGTTTGTTTTTTCTCATTTTCTCCTTGTATATACAGCTATGGTCATAATATCTGACCGAGTTAAAAAATTATGATCGATGAAATCGCTAAGTTGTTCTTAGTTACGAAGAACACACATAGCTTGGAATTCAAAAGATGGTAAGTTTCGAGTATGAACCGAAAATGTCTGTATAAGTCAGCACCAACAATCTGGCTGTGTTTGGCCTGCAAACAGAGAGTGGTGATTAAATGCACATTCAAATTGATGAATTGAGATACCATTACTTGCTACACAATTGCATTAATAGATGGCGCCACTAGTAGTTTTAGTCCAGCTAGAATACCATTACTTGTGGCATTATTAATGTAACAAAATGTTAATACCGGGTTAGGGTTATTACAAAAATGTAACAATTTGTCACAGATGTAGACCAGCTACCATTTCTTGGTGGTGACATGATAGACAATCATTTTTAACAAATAAGTAGTACATTTTACTCCATATCCATATGAATGCCTCAAATTGTATATTGCAATACATAAATGATTGATTGAAAGAGAACATGATGCAAAATGTTTACTCCTTGGTTTATGAAAAACAACTACATGTATTTTGAAATAAGAACTTATTATTCTTAACAGGCTTGAACTGCCCCCCCCCCCCTGGCCAAAAATTGTTTCAAAATCATGCACTGTTTCACCATTCTGAGCCTTTTTCAAGTGATTTTGGACATTTTTGGCCATAGTTGCCAAATGTGACAAAATTTGGCAAACCTGGCTATGGGACTGCTTAATTAAAAACCCTAAAAATGCCTATTAGGGGGAGGGGACCACAACAGATATTTCTGCATATTAATGACCCCCTGGAGCTTACATTAATTTGAACTTTTTTCAATACTCACCATACCTTACATATAACATAACAGCTTCTCTTAGGATTTATTTTTCTTCTTGTTTTTCCTCTTTTTGGACTTCCCCTGAAAAAGATGATTTTTAATTCATTAAAGCAAAATTCATTTACTAAGTCTTAAAACCTTATATTATATGGAGCTTATATTCCATGACATTATACATTATGTGATATTTATTACAAAATAATGCCATATCAGAAATACAAAATAAGGATTTTTTGGAATTACAAAATGGCAACTTCTTTACAGCCTGGTACACTTCTTCATAAATAATGTCAATAACAATTTGTAAAATTCTGTTGGATTTTATCAGATCACTATGGTATATATATAGAAAACGAAATTTTAAAAATCAGGATAAATCAGGAATACTTATTAAAAAAACATTGGTTCGTGAATGGATAACATTTTCTATTGCTCTATTTTAATTGTGGGCTTGACGAGGGCTCGTTAACCTTTCATTATTTGATTGAAAGGGTGATCAGAAAATAGAAACATTTGAATTTATCCGCACTATAAACAATTCATTCCATAAGTAAAATATCATGGTAGTCATGTTTTAAAATGCAAAATTCAGTTGAAAAGAGTGAAATCAGCAAGGAATAAAGTAAACAGGCATGTAGTCAACACTCTAAATTGTACAGAAATGCAAGAAAATCAGGCAGTTCATTCAAATTATTTCGAGAAAAGTGTGAAATATGTGATTTACATTCAAGGCCGTCTGCTCATGGGATGGTTAAAAAAAAAATAATCAGTATAATTACAGGTCAGTCTGTAACAATAAATAATGAGTGAATCTATAAATAATTAAAGAATTTTGTTCATAGTTCAACATACACTTAGTACCCTAAACATATAATTTGAAACGGTATCTGAAGAATTCAAGTGCTTGCATCTTACATGCAACATGTCACATACATGTAATTTTGTACCTCTAAATTCAACATAAACTTGAAGCATACCCTTCTCAAAATATAATTTTGAAACTATCTGATAAACAAAAGTTCTGACAATATGTCAAAAAATTAATTCAGAAATGTCATTCTTATTCAACATTTTCTCAAGAATTTTCTGGCATTTCTAAGAGTGTTGAGTACTGTATATGGTTGTTTACATTGTATGTCACTCTTTGCTGATTCCACTCTTTTGAATCATGAAACATTGTGCATCATAAAATTTTTCTCCGGGTTCTAGTGAATGTTGCTATCCTGACAACAGTATCCTAGTAACCATCAATACAATACAATTCCACACAAGTATAACATTTTATAAAAAATCAGAAATGTCACTCGTTCTAGAGATAAGAAAATAATGAAAACTATAGTAAAAAATGTATTAGAACTATGTAGTGCTGGTTTAACTACAAGATGCAATATACTTTCTGACCAGTTCCTCATATGTACATAATAACAGAAACTACACCTTTGAAATTGATCACATTGTGAAGAAGGGGCATAAAGGAGCCATGCGTTTTTTTGAGGGGGGTGTCTTTTTTACCCTTTTATTCTTGACCATTGTGAATTTTATCATGCGACATATCCTTGAATTGTTGTATAGTGTGGGAGGGAGATGAGGGTGTTTGGGGTGGGGAGGGGGGGGGGTGGTATTCATACTTATAATGACCCATATTATGGACATTTGTGAGTAGGAGGGTTAAGAAGTACTGCAAATTAAACAAGATGAGAATTTAATAGATATTCACATTCTATTTTTTCTACTTTTTACAGTCCCACTTAGTTCTATTTTTCTACTTTTTACAGTCCCACTTAAGTAGCCATCATTGCATAATGCATGCAACTGAACCACCATTTGTGCACCTCAATTGGGGAGGGGTAGTCATACAGTTCTGTATTACAACACTGGATTACATTGCATTGTAAAACATATTGCAAGGGACTCAGTACCTTCAGCTGTAGTTTATCATTTAAAATAACTTTACACAGCTATGCAATGTCACAGCATTGCAATAACATATTGCACAAAACTATGTGATATTGCAATGCCTGATTACAATGGTTAACTCAACAAATCAAAACTTACACAGCATTGCAATAATAGTTTGCACAAACTAAATAGCATTGCATAGACTGCAAAAAACTATACAATAGTGCAATGCCAGATTAGAGTACACAACATTACAATCCTTCAATGACCATTGATGAATGAATTTTACTACATTGCAATATTCAATAAGACAAAACTAAACAACATTGCAATGCTAGATAAGAGTACAGCATCCCGATGCTTATCAGAACAAATCAAAACTACACAGCACTGCAATAACATATTGCACAAGATGATACACCATGGCAATACAATATCAAACAATGCAATGCTGTATGAAAGAAGATCATTATGCTGAAATGCACCCTGTAAACAACAACAACACATCTAGCTACACACAAATTCATTTTGTTATCTAAAATGTAACTCATAACTGATTATGTTGTTAATATAACTATGGTAACACTACTTTGGTTATGTCACTCTAACATAGCTACCAGTGAACAATAAACTAAATCAGGGGAACATGTTGTGAGCGGAAATACAGTAAAAAATTCTTAAAATAAGAAATCTCATATGAATGTAGATTTTTTTGTTTTTTTGATTGCTTTAAGCTCAAGTGTCTCATTTGTTTTCTTAGGTTATAATTTTTTTCATAGATTTTTAACTGTATTTTGCTCCTTTAACTAAAAGGTGAAAATCAGGGTGATGAAGTAATTTACTTTAGCTGCGCCATTTTGATTTCCTGATGCTACGCTCTCATTGGCTCCTGGGAATAAAATGGTGGTCATGATAAGACTAGTGTGAAATAAATAATATGAATATACAACAATCATGAAGATACATTTACTTAAATTAATTTAAAAAAATCATAATGATAAAATGATTTTTAAATAAAATGATTATGCAAAAATGAATGAGATAAATAACAAAATGCAGCTTATGCAAACTAAAAATAACAACTTATAGGAAAAGTTAAGATATACAAGAAGCAAATGCAGATAGGTACAAAGCTATAAATGCAAACGATCTGATGATTTTCAAATATTTTGTCCATTTTTCCATTAACACTATTCCATGTTTGGGACTGTCAATAGATGGCTCCAAATTCACTGGGTTTTATTGCATAAGAACAACACTCAAAAACTTCATTCTGCATGAGTCCTGAAAGCATTGTCTTTTCAGATTTGTCCAATTTGAAAAATACAATTCAATCCGTTGAATAAGGAAACATGAAAAGGAAAGTTTGAAAAGTGGACTCTGAAATACTAAGAGTAAATACAAAGTAAAAGTAAATGTATGTGATAATTCATTTCAGCCAATCAGATCCATTTCAAACGAATGGCTTAACATCTTAAACTAAGTCAATACAAGAATTGAAGGTGTTGTAGAAATAGGAGAAAAATGATTTACAAGTGCTGTTCAATGAATTTCAGACTTTTAATACAGCCAATGCAAATAAGATATAGAACACTCCTTGTATTTTTATAATATGATTATCTAGAGACTAAAAGCTGTGATTTATAATATTCATACCAGAATGTATAAAATCATGCGGGTGTCTAATATTACATGAAGAACAGAAATATGCAACAAAAAATGAGACTACAGACAAAAATAAATGGTAAGGTTTATTCAAAACATTTAAAATTCCTTTCAAAAGATGTCACTGCAGTCATCTGATTTCTACACCCCCAACTCCCAAGTAATTGAAAATTGATAATTGCCCCTCAACTCCATCCCCTTACCCCATGGGAGAAATATTACAAAATGAGATGACAGCAGATACATTTTCTAAAAGGCATAAAAATTATATATCTTGGAATATTTACCTTCTGACTTTTCCTTACTCTCAGTTTCTGCCTTTTCCTCTGATTTTTCACTGAAAATAAATACCATTATGAATACCATATTGAATTCCAGGCTCTAAAATCGGTTGAAACCAGAGAATTCTTCAACTGTAATTCATCTGATCAAAATGCTTTGACTTCCTGATTTACTGTACATTTACACAATTAAGTGTGCACTGACATGCCTGTTTTATTATTTCCTTGCTGTTTTCACACTTTTAAATTGAATCCTATTCTTCAAATATGGGCACTTTGTTTAAATAATGATGATTACCTTGATTGAGCATTAGTGTCTTCCTGTGCAGGAGTATCGTCTGTTTTAGTCTCTGTTGAGGTAGCTTCAGATTCTTGAGTAGGCTCTTCTGTCTTCTCTTTGGTCTCCTCTACTGGTGCAGCTTCTGTTGGTGCAGCTTCTGTTGGTGCAGCTTCTGTTGGTGCAGCTTCTTGTTCAGTTTCCTTAACAGCCTCAGCTTCTGGTTCCTTTGAAGTTTCTTCCTTGGGGGTTTCTGGTTCTGCTTGTACTGTATTTTCCTTTGAAGCTTCTTCTTGTGGAGTCTCTTCCGTTGAAGCTTCATCTGCTGCCTCTTCCTTTGGAGCTTCAACTACAGCCTCTTCCTTTTGAGCTTCTTCTTTTGTAGCCTCTTCTTTTGGAGTGTCAACTGGAGCCTCTTCTTTAGGAGTCTCCTCCTTTGAAGCTACTACTGCAGCTTCAACTGGTATCTCTTCTTTTGGAGATTCAACTACAGCCTCATCCTCCTTTGGAGCCTCTTCCTTTGGAGCCTCTTCCTTTGGAGTCTCTTCTATTGGGGTTTCTTCCTTTGGAGCTTCTACTGCAGCTTCAACTGGCACATCTTCCTTAGGAGCTTCAACTGGAGCCTCTTCCTTTGGAGCTTCTACTGCAGCTTCAACTGGTGCCTCTTCCTTTGGAGCTTCAACTGGAGCCTCTTCCTTTGGAGCTTCTACTGCAGCTTCAACTGGTGCCCCTTCCTTAGGAGCTTCAACTGGAGCCTCTTCCTTTGGAGCTTCTACTGCAGCTTCAACTGGTGCCTCTTCCTTTGGAGCTTCTACTGGAGCCTCTTCCTTTGGAGCTTCTACTGCAGCTTCAACTGGAGCCTCTTCTTTTGGGGCTTCTACTGCAGCTTCAACTGGAGCCTCTTCCTTTGGAGCTTCTACTACAGCTTCAACTGGCACCTCTTCCTTTGGAGCTTCTATTGCAGCCTCAGCTGGTGCCTCTTCCTTTGGAGCTTCTACTACAGCTTCAACTGGCACCTCTTCCTTTGGAGCTTCAACTGGAGCCTCTTCCTTTGGAGCTTCTACTTCAGCTTCAACTGGTGCCTCTTCCTTTGGAGCTTCTACTGGGACCTCTTCCTTTGGAGCTTCTACTGATTCCTCTTCCTTTGGAGCTTCTACTGCAGCTTCAACTGGCACCTCTTCCTTTGGAGCTTCTACTGCAGCTTCAACTGGAGCTTCTTCCTTTGGAGATTCTACTGCAGCTTCAACTGGAGCTTCTTCCTTCAGAGCTTCTACAGGTACCTCTTCCTTTGGAGCTTCTACTGCAGCTTCAGTTGGCACCTCTTCCTTTGGAGCTTCTACTGCAGCTTCAACTGGAGCCTCTTCCTTTGGAGCTTCTACTGCAGCTTCAACTGGAGCCTCTTCCTTTGGAGCTTCTACTGCAGCTTCAACTGGAGCTTCTTCCTTTGGAGCTTCTACTGTAGCCTCTTCCTTTGGAGATTCAACTGGTTCGACAGGGGCCTCTTCCTTTTGAGCTTCTACTGCAGCTTCAGCTGGCACCTCTTCCTTTGGAGCTTCAACTGGTACCTCTTCCTTTGGAGCTTCTACTGCAGGTTCAACTGGGGCCTCTTCCTTAGGAGCTTCTACTGTAGCTTCAGCTGGCACCTCTTCTTTTGGAGCTTCAACTGGAGCCTCCTCCTTTGGAGCATCTTCCTTTGGAGCATCTTCCTTGGGAGCCTCTTCTTCTTTAGGAGTCTCCTCCTTTGGAGCCTCTACTGCAGGTTCAACTGGCACCTCTTCTTTTGGAGTCTCTTCTTTTGTAGCTTCTTCCTTTTGAGTCTCCTCTTTTGGAGCCTCTTCCTTTGGAGCCTCAACTGTAGCAGCTGCGGCTGCCTCTACAACAGGTTCAGCAGTAGCTGGAGCATCTTTGGTTGGTGTGTCTGCCATTGCTTTTGCTACTTCTTCTTCGTCAAGTTCCTGGGTGATATCGTCTATTGTGTATTCCTCTTCGGCTTCGTTGGCCTTATCAACTGATTTATCCTGAAAACACATAGTAACACTTTTTTTATAATTAAGGACAAACATTATTGTTAAATATAAAGGAGTATATGGTTGATTCATCCTTAATACCAATATGTTCTGATTTACTCAAATCTATAGCCAAGGCTCGTGATCACTTCACTTTGTAGAAAATGGTTCAGTCACAATGAGTCCTCATATTATTTAAGAATACTTGTGAGAATGGTACATTTATTGAAATTGAAACAGGGTATATAACATCATTATAAATGAATGAATACATGTGTGGCTATATATCATACGAAAGGCCGGAATATAGAAATTACTCTTTGAAGAAGGCAAGTAAAGTTTTCCTAAAAAAATTCCATGGTCACATCGGTTCTAAACCTACATTTGGGTGTTTATCATTTGAATCATTTCAATAATCAACTGGGTTTTAATTCAGATTTTGCATTTTAATTGGTACTTGAAAGTTGTTGTAGACAAATTCACATACACACCTTAAGTTCAACAATTGTTTTCATTCATGTTTTTGTGTTTAGCCTGTCTTTAAAATATCAAAGTGACCATATCTTAACAGACATAACATAACATGAAAAAGAGTGGAATCTGCAAGAAATTATATTATACAGATATGTATTGTGTATCCTCCAAATAGTAAAGGAACATCACGAAATAAACAAAATTGTTTTAGCTTTAGGGAAGAAAATCACCACTAAAATAACCAGAGGATGCACTCGAAGTTCATAAAACACATATAAAAGTAGTAAAATGCTGATTGTGACGACAGTAGACTTACATATACATATACTCGGGGTGGAAAATTTTCTAAGAGGCTCCGTTAAGGAAAAAATGACTTTATGAGCTGGATGGAATTTCTGTGTATTTTTTATTCTATTAGGGTGCCCTGCATAAAGGATTTCGCCTGCGAAGCATATAACTCTTGCGAACATATCTAAATACTGGTCCGAAGAAGACATACCTTGAATTTTTTAGAAAAAATTGGCTAAAAATGGAAACTACAAGAAGTCAAAATGTTCAACTCAAACAAAGTTGTAGCTATTCTATATCAATATTTTGTGTTATGTAAGGTTTCTCAGATGTTTCAAGACCTTCATTAGTATACTTGTGTCTAGAAATGTGACATTTAAGGACAAAATTTGGCATTTTTAATCATTTTCGCTTTCAGCATTAACATATAGTTCCTTATATCTCGAGCTTAATGCTGACTGGTTGTTGCATTTTTGATTAAATCTGTGCTTGTACATATGTTCTTCCATTTAAGGTGTAGAAAATGTATAGTGGACAACCATTGTTCATATGAGAGCTTTCAGATCTCCCCTACCCCATTTATTATGGAAAATTACCGAAAAATATGAAAAAATAAAATAACTTGAAATTATAAACTTTAACAAAGTTGTAGCTATTCTATGTCAATATTATGTGTTATTTAATGTTTTAAAGATATTTCAGAACCTATAGCGGTATACAAGTGGCTAGAAATGAGACATTTAAGGACAAAACTTGGCATTTTTTATCATTTTCGCTTTCAGCAGTAATATATAGTTCCTCATATCTTGAGTTTTATGCTGTCTGATTGTTGCATTTTCAATCAAATCTGTTCTTGTGCATGTCTTCTTCCATTTAAGGTATAGAAAATGTATAGTAGACAAACAATGTTCATATTAGAGCTTTCAGATCTCCCCTACCCCATCAATTATGGAAAATAAACGAGAAATATAAAAAAATAAAATAACTTGAAATTATAGACTTTCATAAAGTTGTAGCTATTCTATTATCAATATTATGTGTTATTTTAATTTTTAAGATTTTTCAGAACTTTTATTGGTATTCAAGTGCCTAGAAATGAGACATTTAAGGACAAAACTTGGCATTTTTTAATCAATGCTGCTTTCAGCAGTAACATATAGATCCTCATATCTTGAGTTTTATGCTGACTGGTTGATACATTTTGGATTAAATCTGTTCTTGTACATGTTTTTATTCCATTTAAGGTACTGAAAATGTATAGTAGACAAACAATGTTCATATTAGAGCTTTCAGTTCTCCCCTACCCCATTTATTAGGGAAGAGACTGGAAAATATAAAAAATAACTTCAAACTACCAGTATAAACTTTAACAAAGATGTAACTATTCTTTATGTGTTATTGATTGCTATAATTAATGTTTCAGGACCTTCATTAGTATTCTAGTGTAGAGAAATTAGACATTTAAGAACAAAATTTGGCATTTTTCATCATTTCCACTGTTTAGCAATAACATATAGTTCCTTATATCTTGAGTTTTATGCTGATTGGTTGATGGATTCTTGATCAAATCTGTTCTTTTGGCTGCCTACTTTGATTTAAGGTATTTCAAAATGTATATTGGAAAGCCTGTCATAATATAAGAGCTTACATATCTCCCATACCCCATTTATTTTGAAAAAATAACCAGAAATATAAAAACCAAACAATTTCAAAGTATAGACTTTAACAAAGTTGTCGCTATTCTAGATCAATACTATGTATTATTTGATATTTTTCAGATGTGTCAGGAACTTCATGAGTATACAAGTCTAAAAATTAGACATTTAAAGTTGAGTTGCAAATGGGGCGGGTATTCTCTATCTTTGTCCATTGGGCTTTTCTGGTTATGATATGTTGCAAACTGCTCATGAATCTATGCAATGTATAGTACAATACTTGGAATATATTTTAAAATAATGGGGTATAGTACTGTGATAATTATAACCAGTGATCAAGCCATATTGGTTGAATTCCCTCATATCAAATGCAATGTTGTCAAATGCTTGGTGATTTCCATATTGCACCTAAGGGTGGTGTAATTAGGAAGTTCATGATAGATATTGGGCTTGGGGATATTTTGGTAAATGTAAACATTGTGAAATGAAGAACAGCCAACACGATGATTTTGGAAAGGATTACAAAATGGTAAAGCTGTCTTTGGTTTGTGAAGCAATGTTACTGTATCTCTAAAATGGGATGAATTTCACTTATGGCAGAGCTGCTATTGAACTTTGCAAAACTGATAGTTGCAACTTATCTATCAAATACTGATCATGAAGAAGTTGACACTCTCCTTATGGCCCATGTCTATTACAGTGCTGCAGACAAGACAAAGGAGTTCAATGTTGAGAGAATTTGTATTCAGTCTGATGATACAGAATGTTGCTTGCAAAGAAGGATGAGAGTTAAAAAGAGCTCTTAAAGTTTCTTATGTCCTTCAAGGTAGCATTCTAAATTACTATATGAATCTCAAAGTGCAATACCTATTTGAAGATATATCAAAGATGGGTGTCTTGTACCAGTACTCACAAACAAACCTTCGTAGCAACACAAGAAACATATGTCCTTGGCAATTCGCAAATGTAAAATGGCAAAAGGCAACGAAAATTGCTATATAAAGTTTCTAGTCAAGGGTGTATTGCTACTTGTCCATGTGGCAATAAACAACATAGTGCACATCGTTGGACAATATTTAAGGATGAGTTTCTCAGAACTATAAAAATTATTTAGAGATCTAACATATCTGAATAGCTTGTGGTGTCATGAGCAACTTAGACCTTTAAAATGCTTCCTAGTCAACTGGTACCCAAGACAAGTCGTACCCAAGATAACTGGTACCCAAGACAACTCGTACCCAAGATAACCGGTACCCAAGACAACTCGTACCCAAGTTATTTCCAGTATTATGGGTGCATATTAGGAAAACAAATTGAGTTTGTATGATTATGTTTTCATGTTATAATGTGACTCAAATAAGCCTCAATATTTTTTTGAATTTAGAAGACATTTTTTCTCAATGGATTAAGTAAAGCATTTTGATTTAACTTGAATCACCTTTTTACTAATAAAACAAGTGCTTGAAGTGCTTGTTCACAACATTTTTTGCCAAACATATATATAAATAAATATAATTACAACAGTGACTTTTCTACAAATGAATCAAACAATTAATTTGAGCATTTTGAGAAAGTTTAAAGGAAGTTTAATCTGTTAATTTTTTTCCAATTGGAACTAAATTTGATTATGCACATGCATACTAAGTGTAATAATATATCATGTATGAATAAGTACCAAAATAATATTTGATATTAATATTATACTATATTATTACTTGTATACTATTATTATATTATTCAAAATATTTTATTGCTAAATTTCATGAATATGACTTCTGATAATATGAAATCCTAGACAAATAGATTATCTGTTTAATAAGAAATTAGGCCCAAGATTTGATGAATCAATACATTTATAATAATACCATCTTCCAAGATGAATTAAATCTGACACTTGTTCCAAACACTCATAAACATACAATATTTAAAAAAATGATTATGAATGTGTGGAATAAACATATATCTCTTCACTCGAACATCCAATATAAAATAATAGTCAAAATAAATTGACACTCAAAGCTCAAAATGTTACAAAATTATATCAATTTCTTCTGAAAATTCTTCAAACTTCTGAACAGTATGTTACAGTTATAATATGTATATCTTTACACATTCCCAGTCCAACACTTGATTCAAAACAAAATATATGCTTGGGTACGACTTGTCTTGGGTACCAGTTGACCAGTTACCTTTAAAATGACTTAAATGCAGCTCTAACATAGAACCAGGGAGATTTGAAAAATCAGGCTGTTGCTGGATTAAGTTCGAGAGTTGTGAACAATCATGTCTATATAAAGACATATCCTTTGATTCATATGAGAGTAAACTGCGAAATTACAAAATTATTTCGCACTATGCTTTTTTTGAGTAATCTTTTAAAAATATAGTAGTGTAGTAATTTTATCTCTAATATGTATATTTGTGTTTAAAACACATTTTCCATGCTTTGAAGATAACAAGACACATTGTTGAATATATATGATCTAAAATATGTCAACTAATCACCATTCAACTAAAAATATAAACAACTATTGCTGAAAGTGAAACATTGGTCATTTTGCCCATTTATGTGTCATTTTTTGATTTTAGTGTGCT